GTTGTCAGTCTTTGTCCATAAAAGGCGTATGGGGAGTAATATGGCCCTGTGGCTGCGGGCACCGGCACGGGGGCCCCGGGTGTGGGCAGGGGGCTCTTTGAATAGGGGTGATAGCGGCTGCTCAGTCCGAGTGGGTGATGGGGGCCCCTAAGGGCCAATGTGCCGGGGCTGCCTGGGCTGCCATTGGGAGGCATATGCATGTGACAAGCCATAGCAGCGGCTGCAGCGGCGTTGGCGAGAGAAGACGACCCCGGGTACCCAGATATCAACTTCTCCGTACCGGCAAAGGCCGTGTGAGTCCGCAAATGGCTGAGAAGCTCCTCGGAGGAGGAAAAGCGCTTATCGCAAGGTCCGTTAGCAGACACCCAGTTACACACGTGTGGCAGGGGGTCATTGGGCAGCATAAACCCATAAGGATATAAGGGATGTCCGCTGAAAGCTGGGGCCGAGGAATGCACGCCGTGTAACGTGTGCGTCGGGTACATGATCGGGTATCCAGATTTGAGCGCGGCAGCAGCGGCAGCCGCAGAATCATGTCCGCAGTTAGCGCTGGATGCACCGGACAAATGGCTTGTGCAGTGGTAGCTCAGACAGTACGGGTCACGACAAAGACTAGCAGACATTAGAGAAGGCGGGGAAGCCCCAGCTAAGGGACTCGTTCCTGCTTTGCTGCATCCCAGTGAGCTGGCAGCAGCAAACTGTGCACTTAAAAGCTGACTGCTGGATTTGGTGGGGTCAAGGGTCATTCCATGAGGGAGGAATGGCTGTGGGTAACCCGCATACGCACCCGCTAAACTTCCAGGATAGGAAATACCAGCAGGTGGCAAGGGGAAAACTGTATGACCGGGCTTATATGGGGAAACAGGGGCCACCAGTCCAGAGCTGAGGACGGAGGATGACGACGAGGTTACAGATGGTGAGTCTGATGTAACAGTCTTGGATCCAGATGTGTTCTCCTGGTGTTGGCTGCCATCCGAGGTAATTCCACTTATCCTATGGCTGCCATTACTCTCTGCCGTACTGCTTTTATTGCTATCAGACTCCTTTTTTTCCTCCTTGTCCCCCGCTTTGCCGTCAGCCGGCAGTGGAGAGACTGAGGTGCAGGAGCTGGGGCTGCCTGTCCTGGGGGTGAACGGCTGGCAGGTGGCGCTAGGCACTCGGAAACTGGTTTTGTCTCCACTGAGGCTGCTGCTCGAGTCCTTCTTCTCAGACGATTTGGAGTAAGGTTTGAAGCTGGATTTGTCGTCGGCTCCGATGTCGCTCATTTTCAGCGGACCAGATTTGGTCTCCTTGTCACTAGATCCATTTGAGGTAACAGAGGACAGCTTAGAGGAGGACGGCGGGTCCGGTTTGCCGATCTGAGAGCACGTTTGCGCCAAAAGAGCCAGGGGACTTTTCTTGGCATCCAGCTGTGAAATAAAACACAACAAAATTAACGAAATTCATTAAAGCACTTGTGCTTTTCAGGTTTTGTGGTAAATACCACACATACCCGTTCCGCGTAGTTTACGCATTGCGCATAAACTTATCTCCGGATGAAACTCAAAACAACTAATAGGCATGTAAAGAGAGAGAGTGCACACAGAGAGCTGATTCACGTGAGATGGAAGATAAGACTGTACAATTGCCACGCGTCGAAAACGGCATTACAAACACTGGCATCATTTTGCAACAAGGTCATTAAATTTGAAAGCGACTCAAATTTCGACACCTCAGTTTATAATTTGAACGCAGAACAAAAAAACAAAAACAAACAACAATCAGAAATCAACTCGGAACCAGGTCTTAAAACAACATTAGGAGGGTTATTCTCGAAAAATTCATTAAGCTACATAGTAAATAAAATCGCTTCTGACACCAGTTATTAACTCAGTCTGTCCACACATTGCGGAAGCTTTAGTGTCCAGTGATTTCAGAGTAAAATGCTTTGTAGTTTGATTTTTAGCGAATTTCTGCCCGTGTGCGCAAACGTATTCACAAAAATCGTGTTAACGCTTACCTCGATGGGACCGACCGGGGTGGACGGTAAAGGCTGAAGGTACTCCGGGTGTAAAAGGTGTCCTGCTCGTGCCGTAAGCATTTTCAAAACCTTTATGGGAAGACGACTGGCTTGGCGAGAAGGGTCTGCAGGAGAGACGGAGTTGTATACGGATAGCTGGCTGATTTTCACTGCGCCCTTCTCCCCCGAGGAGCCGCTCTCCCACGCTGGATTCGTGCTATTTCTCAGGACAGAGACCGTGGGCGATGTGATCATGACCCAATTCTCGTGGAAATGGTTGAGAGATACATGTGTAGGGTAAAGAAAGCCAGCACTCAAAACGTCAGACGGTTAAAGCCTTTGCCAGAGATAAAAGGAACAATGTTAAATCCTCAGAAGAGACGCGCAGTGTGCGAGCAGAATCCGTGCGTATCGCAGCCGTGTTGCTTCATCCCCGGTGTCGCTCTGACAGTGTGGCTGCGGGTCCGAGAGCTGACTTGGTTTACGTGCGGGCAGGAGAGATCACTCCGCCTCCTCTCGAGCAGAATCTGAAGTAGTCCGCAGATCACAGCCTGTGCCGCCTCCCAGTCAAAATGAGATCCTGAGGTGATGGTGGGGTCGAGTGAATGTGACGTTTCCTTCTCACACGGGTGTGTATTTAACAGTTCACCCGCTCTGAGCACTTTTAATTTTGAGTTTTTCCCTATTTTCTCTCGTCTTTGCGTAATTGGCGCTTCGACGCATGCGCCGCCCGTGCGTTCCTTTGCAGTTTTGGGGAAGGTGGATGAAGGCTAACAAGGAGGTGAAAATGACCAAAACTCCTTTATGTCAAATGAGCAGGAGACGCATTTTAATTAACAGAATTTTTATTTCAGACAGCAGAGTTTTTACAATAAAAGGACACTGTAAGATATTGAGCAAATTAACACCTCTAGCCAACATATTATACATTTACAAGCCTTGTTCTAACTTTAAGTCATTTTGAGCTAATCTTCTTAAGTCTACAATTAGGAAACAGCAGTTCAGGTCCACCTGATTGACCAACCGATGGCTTTTCTGTGCTGGTATTCACTTACACGTGCACCGATATCTATCGACATGTTTCACATTTTCTGCAACTTTCTCCTCTCGATCAGACAGCCTGTCATCTGTCAGTTCCTGCACGCCAGTTTTCTGTCAGCTGTCTGCAGATTTTTTATTTGCCTCTTCTCAGCCAGATCCAGGTCAACTATTATCAAGTGAATCCATGAGAAGTGGAGAGAAGAAGTAATGTGTCTCTCACCTCACTCCATCATATCTGAGGCTTGTTAGTCTGCCGTGTCTGGTAACACTCAAAACTGCGATTTGTTTAATTGATACATTCTCAGGCAGTTTTTACAGAGCCTTAATTCTGCTCCAGACATCTATTTAATATCATGCAAAATTTCAAGTGTTTTTTTTCCGTCTTGGAAATTAAAAATATTCCCTCACATGCCTGCCACATTCAAGCCAAAATTCTTTCTTTTTTATTCCAAGAGCGCTTAAAAACCCTCTTGTGGCCGCCATTAATCATTTAAAGCTTCCACATTTCTTAGACCCACTTATCTTATTACTCAATAGCCTATAAATGTCTTGCTGATCAGGCGAAAGTTAAACATATGCAAGTGTTTTTTGATTGATAACAGGGGGGCTGTTTTCGGCAACGGCTGTCAGGCTCTGACACAGCGCTTTGAGTTATTAGGGCAGAGAAGGGCGACCATAAATTTCGACCGTCAGGCAAAAACCCCTTTATTGTGGACGTGATGGATGGCTCACCGCGGCAGACACCAAATTCTCGGCTTTATCCTTAAATGGCTGCACATTTTTTCGTCGCCGTAATTCATTACTTTTAAACAGAAAACTTGAAATGCTAGTATTTCACACAAGGACACGTTTATGAATCACCCGGAGTCCGTGCAAACACAACCATCTACAAGCAGGGTTGGGTGCCTCAAGTAGGTGATTATACAGAATACATTCTCTGTCTGATCTATACATTTAAAAAAAATAAAGGATTCATATTTTTATTAAAGGATTCAATATTTTTTCACATTTTGTCATGAATTCAGGATGGAGATGTCAGACCTCAAAGTTCTGGTAAACTAAGTGAAGGTTCACCAAATCCTTTTTGAAACAAGTTTTTTCATTAATTAAGCACAATCTATTACCAGTTTGTGACCTATAGTCAAAATTTAACATTGCCATTCCTTCAAATTTAGATTATATATAAAATATATGAAAATGTGAAAAAATGTGTTCATCAGACATATTTTTAGTAATGATCCTTAAAAAACTTATTTAGTGTAATGTTTTTGTACCGAATAATGCTATTGTCCATTGACTGCCCTTGGCCAAACGAAAATACAAAATGATAAACAAAACACTGGGCAAATTGTGAACACCATACAGGTGAGCAAGAAACAATGAATGGTTTTCAGAATCTTATTATGTTCCTAAAAAGGACAACATTTTTAATTTGAAAGTATTCAGCTTCATATAAAGTCAAAATGGGATAAATAGGTGGGTGAGTTTATCCTCCACCTGGCTCCAGCGCTTTTGTGACTTAGTTTAACTTTTAGTCTTTCTTTTATGTTCAGTAGTGGTTGTCTGTACAGAAACGACACCTTAAATGTGTGTTGGAGACATCACAGTTTATTATTGGAGTTGTAATTAGAGTTATAGTTACAGGAGCTGATATTACAACCTTGTTGTATAAGGTTTAATTGTATGGTGTGTATTGTGTAATTCAGCTCTGCATGTAGGATGGCTACTACAGAGTTGATTAAACAAATGCATGCATATGTCCAATTTTAATACAGTGTTAAACAGTATTTTACTATGAAATGACAATTCAATTCAGTAGCGGCAAATCACAACAACAGTTATCTTAGAGTGCTTTTCATAAAAGAGCAGGTCTAAACCGTACTCTGTGATGTTATTTACAGAAACCCAACAACTGATGAAGTGAAAATGTGATATTTTTGTGAAATCCTTTCCTTTCCAGACCCTTTGGAGGTTCTATGCAGCAGTGGAAGATTTACTCAAACAGCATGAAGGTAAGTCACTGCTCCACTCTTATTATTATGCCCTCTTTAGACTTGCACATGTACATTAAATACATTACAAAAGACCTGAAACTATTAAAGAAATTACCCAAACTCAGGTGCGAAAGCCCTTGACATATAGCTTTCAAAAAAGGATATGGTCGATAAATACAGCATTACAATGTCGAGCAAATGGAATAAGAAAGTCCCTCGACATGACATGAAAATTCACCTTGTGGCAGCCAGTGCGGGGCGCGCCACGTCAGCAGCAAGACAGGCCTACTGGATCTGACAGGTAAAAAGGGGAGATGATGGTTAGAAGGTGCTATTGTTTCATGCCGCTTTCTTGACCTGTCAGGTCCCGGCACAGAGGCCTAGATCGAGGACCTCTTTGTCACATGCAAACAGTCTTAAAAGGCCGTTATCCAGACTATGGTGATTGCTCCTGTTTAATTGATTTGCTTTGCACTGAGGCCTGTCACATTAATAATGGTTAAGTACAGCCCAAGTGTGTCACCCAGAGTGGTGCGTCTATCGGGAAATTAACAGCCTTAACTAACTGCTGTCTGTGAAGCAAGAACTGTGTAATCATATGAGATGCAGCACTTTCATACTTAGGCTGAAACTATGGTATTTCTAATATAACTGCTCTCTGGTGATGTGCAGCAGCTGTATATTTTCTTTTTTCCCCCTATAGATATATTTTAAAACCTGCCACATTTTGACCTCTTCATTTAAGTGTATATGGCTGTATTATATCCCCATCTCATTATGAACTACCATCCAGAGTAAAACAGAGAGCTACACTGACAAGTAAATGGTGTTGAGTGAATAAGACTCAGATTACGCTCTCTACTGCTTCACAGGAGCCTTTGACAGGTTGCAGTAGACATTAAGTCTTTCTGATATTTCCATGACTGACTGACAGTTTGAAATTGCTCCCATCACCTTGATAGCATAGTAATGCACCTTGCATGTGGACTGTCTTTAAAGTGCAGGAAATTAGACTCAAAGTTGAGAGTCTCCTTTCAACCAAATATGACAAGAAAATAGACTGCTTTTCTTCTGCGCCCAGAGAGGGAAAAAGGCCCCACAGAAGCTGGCACAGAATAAGAGGTTATAGGAGCAAGTTGTCAGGAAGTATTACGGATTTTATGTGTTTAAGACAGGACATTTCAGATACTTAGAAGTCATACCCATTCCCCTTGACTACACCCAAGATACTCCCCCACCCCCCCCCCACACACACACATCTGTGTCAAATGCCTTAGTGTTGACTTCATTTGCAAGAGCTCAACTCGGAGGTGACATGAAGAACTTGCACTATCTCGCCGGAAGTCAGACGGCAGGAGCGCAGCATGACAGAGAGAGTTAGAAAAGTTGAGGTGCAGCCAAGATCGCGGCGGTGAAGGGTCTTTTTCACGTTGTCTCCTCAATTAGTTAAAGCTGGTCAGGAGTAGGAAGTAAAGCCTATGGAGATTATATGCTGTCGTCCACTTGCCATCAGGTAGGTGAGGATCCTGGCGGGTTGTAGTCATGCTGTAGAGAAGAGTTAACTTCACCTACCCTCCACGTTGGCACTGGAACCAATGGCTCAATTCATCCTGACAGCTGCCATATTACTGGTTCAGAACTTTGTGGAAACTTCAAGAAGCTCCTGTAAGACCTACTGTACTGTATATACATGTCTAGTAGCTTTAGTGGAAAAGGGAGTGCGGTCATGTTCGCTCTTGAGGACATCAAAATTTGGCATGTGACTGGATTTACCCAATTTTGATTAACATCAGGGCTTCATATAATGATTATTTTCATTATAAATGAATCTGTTCACTCTTTTTTTAAATTATTGACAAAATCATGGTGAAAAAAATGCCCATCATGATTTCCGGGAGCCCAATTTGATGTCTTAAAATTGTTTGTTTTGTGTGACTAATGGTTTCAAACTTCCAAATTCAGATATAAAACTGAAAAAAGACACAAATCCCAACATTTGAGAAGCTGGAAACAGATCATTTTCCATCCATCCACTAATTAATTAATCAACTAATTGTTGCAACCCTCTCAGTGTCTTTATTTCTCCAAGTATTGACTCTCAAATGAGTTGAAAAGACGCCACACACAGTGCATTTGTTTGTGTAGCAGTCAGTGTAAAATCAACATTCTCCACATTGACACACATGCAGCAATAGATGCTGATCCCTCACATTTACTTGTCTAGATTTAATTTATGGAGCCTAAGCCGGGGTGAAAATGTACAGGTAGCGTGTTATGGCACTGGAAGCACTGTGCGGGTCGGGATGAATGTCTGTGATGGGCAGATTATTCAGAATAAAGTAGGCCTAAAGAATGATCTTGTCACATTTCACAGGCAGGATTAGGGATACGCAGGAGGAGCGCTTCAGTCAGGAATTAGCGTCATGTGGTCGGCTGGAGACGAGCATGCAAGGTATCTTCTGAGACAGGCTTGGACACTTACTGCTCCATTTGTCTACTTAGTGATCAAATACTGAGGTTGATGGTTATTTCTCTGTCATTTGTGGTTTATGTGATATGTGTTCATCTGTGAGCATTTCCGTGTTGTGAAACTGTGTGAATTTCAGAGATCAAAACACCCTTTGGACATCCAGAACTGGGTTCATTTCGCTTCTTTTTATACATAAACCACATGCAATTGTACGTACAAATTTACAATATAGCATTAGCTATAACACATGAGGCCATCTTGACGTGTAGCCCATAGCAGCACCTACTATATTTGTGGCTTTGCATTTTGAATGGAAGTATGTGTGAATGTCTTCAGGCTATTAGAATGAGCTATTACTACGATGACTGAAGAGTGAGGCAAGGCGCGAGCTAAAAGACAAAGTAGAAGACGCCTGACAAATGAAATCAAACTTCATAAGACCTGCCAGTGGTGTCAGTTGTTATCCATATCTCAAGCGCATTATGGTACTGCAACGCAGCGTACTGCCTTCTCATCTGTCGGCTCAAATTCATCACATTCTTGACTGTTTCTTTTAAGTCACAAGTGTCAGTGTGAAGAGGAGTCTTAATTGACAACTGAGTGGCACAGATGTGGACCGCTGCCTTTATTTTTGTGCCAAGAAGGGTTGTGTTGTTTTGATGAGCTATTATTGGCAGAAGCCAGTAGCAGATAGCAGTCGGCCTGGAAATGGGAAGTGACATCAGACAGAGAGGAGCTTGTCATTGTCTTCAGGCGAGTTCAGTCTCGCTGTAAGTTAGGAACAGCCTGTTGAAATGTCACTCAGCGGACTTTCTTATCTTTTGAGAAGAGAAATTTGGGTTGATTTGGTGAAATTTTAGTTGAAATTATGTAGACATTTGTCATCTGGATTCTGAATAGCTAAAACACGTTGGCATGGTTTCAAAGATTTTTTTCGTGGTAAATTTGATTTTATTATGTGGAACATAGCAAGTTATCGTGAGCCTCCAGCCTTCATATGCAGCACATTTAAGATATGTTGCCCCAAATTTGCTGCAGTGTTAATCAACATTGTCAAAATTAGCTGGAAGTCTCTTTCATAGCATTTGGTAAAAGTAAATATTTTCTTACCTTTAGTGGTACCTAGTCATACATATAGCTTTATTCTATGCTTTGGAGTATCCATCTCTAAAGCGGCAAAATGAAAAGTAAAAGGTTCTGCGACGGACACTCACGCTGCTCAGATGGGCAGTGTAGTGTCCCATAGCTACCAGCTTGGCTGTAGACTCTTAAGCTGTGTCTCAATTCGGATACTTCTTTTACTGCACTTCCATGTAGTACACTGTGTACACTACGTTTGCATAGTGCATGAATTTCGACAGGGTAGTGTTGTCTCAAATAGAATATGGCTGGAAATGACAGTCACAACATTTGACGAAGTCTTGTTCTTCTTCTTTTTAATGGTGAATTGCTGGACAGAGCATTACCACCAAATTAACCCAATAAACAATTTAATGGCTTCTATCCGAGAACAGTATAGTGATACCTAAATAAAGTCTAACTTAAATTTGTACAATGCGGTGTTCACCGGAGCAACCGCAACCGCTGCAGCTTCCCTCTCCTTCCGCTACCTAGTCAAGATGTTGACCATTGAGGGTGACTGTGTCCAGCGTTCCACTCTCAACTTTTTGACCATTATGAGAACACCATCCGGGTACTCATAGTGCACTGCATTTTGCCGTAATTGTCATTGTAAATGCATTTATGCACTCAAAATAGCAAGTGTAAGTACGGAGGAATGCAAATTCAGACCCAACATTAGTCTTGTTTTAATGCTGTGAACAATGCAAATTAAATTCTATCTACCTCCATTGGACTGGGGTGGAGGCAGAGACAGCTATCTCAAAGCATGGCCAAATAAAACTGAACCTCTGCATGGCTAGATACCAGCAGAGCTGTGGTTAAAGTGAGAAAATAAATTTGTGTTTAATTTGGGTGAACTGTCCCTCTTTTAATATGATTTAAGGACCAAATGGCACTCACCATAACAACTAATGTAAACTGTTGTTCTTGACACTGTAGCCTGCTCTCTGAGCACATTTGGCATTTATAACCAGCTCACAGTAAATCAATGAGGCGTCTGTAACATGTAGCTCAATAGAAGCACTTCTTAATCACAATTGTTCTCCTCTAATATTCACTCAGTTGGAGAGCACAGTGTAAATAAATAGCTCTCAGCGCAGTGCATCTTACTGTACATTGATCATAGCACGAGACCCAAGGCAACAATACAAAAAAGAAAAATGGCTTCCTTATTTTCGCTCATCTGAGGCTCCGTGCAGCCCTTAATAGACAGAATCAGAATGTCTGCTGTGGTGTTGCAGGCTTTATGAGACCATTACCGCTTTTTATTGTGTATCCCTGGACTAATGGTTTTCTATAGCCCCTCTGATTTACAGCCTGTCAGCTTTGTGGCTGTCCATTAGAACAGAAGGTTGACATGAAGCCAGTGCTTGAAGTGCCCACTGTTAAAAATGAGGAAGTCATGTCTCACACATAGACGCCAGGCTCCTAAAACCTCTGTTGCAAAACACATTCATGACTGCTTGTTTTCCAGACTGTTTTTGTCTTTTCATATGCTGCCCCTCTACTTCATGAGTTATATTAAGTCATTTACTGCAGACAAATGTTGTACTGTTCCTGAGTGACATAAATGACACATGTAGGTAGAAGGAAAAGTAAATGTCTGTGAAATCCATTATCATGCATTAACACATAATGTTTGGAATCGTCTGCATTAAAATGTGTTTTTATGGGTGCTTTTATTATAGTGCATGCTCTGTGGCCCTAGCACTTAAACACATCATTAAATATTAGTTTGTCATTAGGATTTTATTTTCAGCTTTGATTTTGTAATGTTTTATGGGTTGGGTGGTGTCCTTTTAGTAAAGTGCTGTATGAGTCACTAACACTAGATGATGATCACTGGTGCTGACATCAGTTATACCTGGCAAACACCATTATTTAAAATTAATTCTGGTTTATTTCACCTTATTTCATAGTTTGGACATCTTTTCTATCAGTAATAATAATAATAATATTGTACTCATTATAGAGGTGGCAAGAAAGAGCGAGATCATATGGAACAAAGTTCGTCAGCAAGCCTTAAACTGTGGACATTGTGAGTCAGCATCTGAAACCCATCTGAAGCCAGCAGGATGGCTCATGATTTTAAACAAACCCCCCAGTTAGCCAAACTTACAGTATTTATAAGAGAAGACAAGGGTGAACAGTAAAGTATGACCAAAACTGTACGTTGCTAACATCTACCGACTTCCTTTTTCAGCTTTGACCTACCATACTTACCGCACAATTTATTACCAACATTTTGGGTGTATTCACTTTGGGGTTTTCCTTTAAATAAAGTGGTTTTTTATAACTTCTTTTTAGCGATGTAGCCGTGTTCCCAAATATTTGCGATTACTTTGGTGAGCTATTACAAACTGACACAGGTGAAACACCCAAAATAACACTTTAAAGAGACCAAAGTTAAAATATTGTAAATATCCACTGGTGTTAATGCTTATGTTCTCTCTCAGAGCAAATATGAATGCTGAAAGTAGAGAATAGATCTTTTTCACAGCAGACATTTGTTCTTAGCAGGACAAGTATAGGTGTAACTCAATGATGGCTGCATTCCATTTATGTGTTTTGAGGGTTCTTCTAATATACATGCTGGGTAACTGGGACGCTTAATGGAATAGAGCCGTTATTAATGTTAGTAATTAGGGCCCGAGCACGACCGTGCGAGGTCCCTATTGAAATTGCTCGGATTATATTTTTTTTTTTTTTTTTTTTTTTTTTTTTTTTTTCTGCAAAGTAGGCCCAAATGACATGGCCTAAACATACTCGAAAACTCACCAAAATTTGCAAACATGTCAGAACCGGTGAAAAATTTCGTATTCTACAAGTTTCGCACATGGGCGTGGCAAAATGACTCGCTAGCGCCACCTAGAAAATTGGAAATGATTAGCCCCTCGTTCACGTTCAACCTACATGTACGAAATTTTCTGGGGACATGTATCGTATCAAGACGCACAAAAAAGCCTCAAGAACCCATAGCCTAAAGTCAACAGGAAGTCGGCCATTTTGAATTTTATGGCCATTTTTGGATGATTTACATACTTCGTACTTTAACGAACTCCTCCTAGGGATTTAGTCGGATCGACGTCAAATTTCTGCTGTGCCTTCTAAAGGCATTGACGATGAAAAGTTGTGCTATTTGCGAGTTTTCGTCAATGGGCGTGTCCGTGGCGTCGATGATTCGCAATGAAACAGGAAGTTGTTGTAACTTCAGTGTACATGCTCACATCTGGACCAAACTGTACATGTAGGATGAGAGTCCCGCCCTGAACACATGTACATGCCGACATTCACCCACAGTCATAGCGCCACCTGCTGGCAACAGAAAGTGACCTTTAACGAAGCAGCCCCCGCCGCACGTTTCACCTATGTGCACGAATTTTCTGTGGTACGTGTATCTTGTCCAGACGCACAAAAAAGCCTCTTGGAGCCATAGCCTAAAATCAACAGGAAGTCGGCCATTTTGAATTTTACGTCAAATTTTGGATGATTTACACACTTCGTACTTTAACGAACTCCTCCTAGGGATTTAGTCCGACCGACCTCAAATTTGTGCTGTGCCTTCTAAAGGCATTGAAGATGAAAAGTTGTGCTATTTGCAAGTTTTCGTCAATGGGCGTGTCCGTGGCGTGGCGTCAAAGATCAGCTCTTCGCCATGACACGGAAGTTGTCGTAACTTCAGTGTACATGCTCACATCTGCACCAAACTGTACATGTAGGATGAGAGTCCCGCCCTGAACACATGTACATGCTGACATTCACCCACAGTCATAGCGCCACCTGCTGGCAACAGGAAGTGACTTTTAACGAAGCAGCCCCCGCCGCACGTTTTACCTACGTGCACGAATTTTCTGTGGTACGTGTATCTTGTCCAGACGCACAAAAAAGCCTCTTGGAGCGATGCCCTAAAATCAACAGGAAGTCGGCCATTTTGAATTTTACGTCAAATTTTGGATGATTTACACACTTCGTACTTTAACGAACTCCTCCTAGGGATTTAGTCCGACCGACTTCAAATTTGTGCTGTGCCTTCTAAAGGC